AGAGGCACGGATGCGAAACTTAAACCACAGGATGAGGATGATCAGCGTGATCTCCAGGTCGAGAGATGACCTTTATTAAGAAAGTCCCAGAACAGGATAAATGGTTGCTGTGAGTGCAGAGAGATGGAACACTGACGTACATTGCTGTGTGGGGACTGCAGAACTAGTTTGTCAACTTCTGTGGAGAAGCAATATGGAAGGATACCTTGAAAGTGGGATGTACAACGGATACAAGTTGATCTACCATTTGATCCAGCAATCCCATACTAGGCATCTGCCCGAAAGAATAAAAGACATTCTATTAAAAAGACATCTGCACTTGAATGTTTATAGCAGCACAATTCACAATTGCAAAGATGTGGAAACTACCCAAGTGTCCATCAATACATGAGTGGATTTATAAAATGTGGTGTATGTATACCATGGAGTACTATTCAGCTATAAGAAACAATGGTGATACAGCACCTCCTGTATTTACCTGGATAGAGCTGGAAACCATTCTCCTAAGTGAAATATCTCAAGAATGGAAACTTAAGCACCACATGTACTCACCAGCAAATTGGTATTAACTGATCAACACCGAAGTGGACATACAGGGATAACATTTATCGGACATCAGGCAGATGAGAGGGGGCAGGAGGGGATGGGTATGTACACACATAATGAATATGATGCGCACCATCTGGGGGATGGACACACTTGAAGCTCTGACTCCAGGGGCGGAGAAGGGAAAAGACAACACATGTAACTTAAACATTTGTACCCCCTTAATATGCTGAAATTTAAAAAAATAAAGAACCAAAAAAAAGAAAAAGAAAATTAATGCTAAAGATCCATGGAGAATAAAAATTGAAATAAACCCAGTTTAGGGAGTGTGCTTTCCTGAGCAAATTGGAGCTTAGCTCTACCGTACACAAAACAGAGACAATACTTTCAAAATCTACTTCTTTGCTTCCCTAATTCTCAAATGAGAATGCTGCCCCAGAAGACAATTTCTCTTGATTAAGTGATTATCTTAAATAATTTTAATTAACTTAGTTTACTGGAACTGTCATTATTTCACATTTTGATATTTTACTCATCATGAATTGTTTCATCGATTTGCATCTGTTAAAAAATTACATAAATTGTCTCAATTACTGAGATTTTGGGCGACCCCTTAAATTTTGCATCTAGCTGCAGAGTCTCACTCGCCTCACTAAAATTCAATCCTTAGGGGACATGTAGTTACCTAAAAGGCCTGAGTGTCAGAGCTGCAGGCTGGAGAGTTGGGGCTTCATTCTCTAGACAAAGGATGGGCAAACTACAGCCCTGGGTGAAACTCTACCCACTGCCTGATTTTGTAAATAAAGTTTTATTGCGGCACAGCTAACCTCATCATTTTCACATGGTCTATGGCCGCTTTCATGCTACAACAACAGAGTTGAGTAGCTGCAACAGAGAGTATATAACGCACAGAACCAAACACATTTACAATCTGGCCCTTGCAGAAAATGTTTCCCAGCCTCTGTTCTAACAGTGTTGGGGGTGGGGGAGCAACTGTTCAAATGCAGAGGGGACAGGGCAGTGATGGCTTTTGGACAATCCCTCCAGGTAGGGAAGGGGAGGTGAGAGGCAGAGAGGTGAGGGAGTCCAAGAAGAGAACCTGAGGCCTCAGCAATGAGAGGGGTCAGGATGGAGGGAGGGGACCAATGCTGGCTGTTCTTAGGGGAAAAATGGGCAAGACATGGTGCACTTTTGGCCATAGGAGAAGAAAGCAAGTACATACAGGAGGTAACTCTTCCAGTGTCTGGCCGTGGAGGAGGCAGAAGGGATGGACTTCCATGTTTTGGGCACCATGGGGAATGCTGCAGGGGGAGCAGCTTTTATGGAGGAGGAGATGAGGAGGCAACTTTGGCCATCCCCAGCTGAGCAATCCTGGAGGCCATCCTGTGGGGATGTTCAGGGGATGGTGTCCAGGCTGCAAGCTGGATGTGGAGAGGCCCATGTCACTTACCCGAGAGCCTGGGACCCTGACAGCGTCTGCCTCCTGCACATCCGGGTCCCCCACGCCCGCTGCTGCTCTTGCCGCCTTCCTCCTGCGGGACCTCACGCTGAGAGGACAGACCAGAGACCCTCAGTCTGGGCATATGAGGACACAGTGGGCAGGGTGACCCATTCGTTTCCTAGTAAGGGGCTGGAGGGGTGACCGTGGTGGGACAGAGGTTACCAGTCCCATAGATGCCAATACTGAGAACACACCCACCTCCCCTACACAATAGGGGGTCCCAGGTTTGAAATAGACCAGAAATCCCCAAAACAAGGGAGCTCATGAAATTGTCACTGTGCATCCCTCACATCCTTCTTGTCCTTGCTTCAAGCTCATGACCCATAAGGTTCCCTCCAACTCCAGCCCCAGAGACTCTGCTCACGGCAATCCCTGCCCCCAAGGTCAATGCTTACACGATGAAGATGACGCACAAGGACAGGAAGACCAGGACTGTGGCTCCAGCTCCCCAGACAGCCCCCAGCGTCACCCCTGAGACAGGCCGCACTTTGACTGCAGATGCAGGAGAGCAACTCTGGTGACTCACTTGCAAGGGCTGGGTCTCTCCTCCTGCCTCCCCTGTAGGGCCCTGGGCTCTACTCCCCTCCCCCGTCTCAGAGGCAAAGAACTGGGATGGGAGGGAGGAGGGGGGAGGCTGCTGGTGGGACCAGTGACACATGGATGTGCTGCTGCAGCCTTTCTTTATTTAAGATTTTGAAATTTTGTTCATCATTGATTTCTTTGTGTTCAATTTTATTGTTTTAACAAGATCATTGCATAGCCATATTACTTCCCTTGATTGCTGACTAGTTTGTCCTTCTCTCTTCTTAAATTTTGTGCCCAAGTTGAGTTCCTGATGTGTCTCACCCTAGTCCCAGCCCTGCAGAGCAAGGACCTTGTCTCCCCAAACACCCCTGTCCAGCCCCAGCCCCTCCCCTCCAAGGTCCACCTCTGCCCCTCGCCCCACCCCAGCCCCCTTGCCAGGCAGGAAGAGGACAGTGATGCTCTGGGTCACAGGGAAGTTCCAGGCCTCCCAGCTGAGCCTCCCTTTGTAGCTCAGAGGACTGCTGGGCAGACCTTGAGGGTGGGGCAGGTGTGTTCTTCTCTATTTCTCCCCCACCCATCTGTGTACTCACTCTGCAGGGAGAGGCTCAGGGAGACGTGCTGGGAGCCCAGAGGGTTCTGAGCTCGGCAGGTGAATTCTCCTTCATCCCTGAGGTGCACTCGAGGCAGCTCCAGCGAAAGAGGTCCCGAGGGCTGCGAAGGGTACAGGGTCAGGCTTTCCCGGGTCCAGCTCAGCCTGGCAGGGGGGTTGCTGCTGACAGCACAGAGCAGGTGCAGAGACTGGCCCTCCAGGACTGACACAGATGAGCTTGTCTCCAGGACAGTGGGTGCTGTAGAGAAAGAGACAGAGGATCAGAGAGACAGAGAGATCTGCAGACAGGAAGGAAGGACACAGAAAGACACTGATGAGTGAACAGACAACAGACAGGGACTGCGGTGAAGGAAAACACACACTGTCACCCCTCCCTGTTGAGAATGTAAACTAATACACCCTTTTTACAGAAACACTTGACCATATTTCTCAGAATTTAAGAAAATGTAGGATCCACTTATTGTCTTTAGGAATTTATCCCACAAACACACACAGGTGTGAAAGGAGATAGAAGATATTCCTTGCAGTGTGTCTGTTGGTATGATGAAATAATGCCATGCTTTCCCAACAGCATAAGATGTCTACAGACTCAGAATGCACCCAAGCAGTGGGACACCGCACAGCCCCAGAGGAGCACGGGGACAGTCTGCACGACTGACGTCAAACCACCTCTGAGGTCCTGCAGGTGAACAGACCAAGGCTCGGAGCAGCCTGTGCAGGCCTGGTGAGTTCTGGGGAGGAGACGGGACTCTGAGGACTCACCCTGCTGTGCACTTGTAATTGTCGCCCATGAGACCGTATCACCCACCCATAAGTGCATAAGCTATTGGGGAAATAGACAGACAAGGCTGAAGGGGTGTTCAGGACACGGATGACAAGGGGCCTGGAAGGTGGCCCTGCTGTGAGTCTCGCCCTGTCCTTGTTGTGGGCCGAGGGGTGTGCAGGTGTCTGAGGGTAGGGAGGGGCCCTGGGGTCACCAGGAGGGAGGCCTCAGGTGACCCTGTGAGTCCAGGTGAGGAGGACGTGCCTGCCCTGATGGAAAAGACCCAGCTCCTGCAGCCCAGGGAGGGCCCGTCCTACCTGAGCCGTCTCCTCGGAAGACAGTCACCGTCAAGTTCTGAGGAGAGTCTGGGGCAGAGAGACACAGCAGCCCCAAGTCACTGCTGAGGGCTGGGTGGACGCTGGTCTCTGTCCCCAAGAGCCATGTCAAGGTGGTGCATGGAACCAGCCTCCTCCTGTCCCTCCCCCACTGGACCCAGGTCCCAGCACCCCGTGTGCAGCCCTGACCCCATCCCGCTGCCCTGGGGACCCCCAGCAGGACCCCAGGATTCCCAGCCCAGCTCTCACAGGACACGTTGAGATGGACGGTCCTCTTCGTGGTCACACCAGCCCCAGGCAAGGTCACCTGGCAGGTGAGGCTGCTGCCGTGGTCCTGGGGCTGAGGGACGAGGGTGAGCACGGAGGAGTGGCGGATGGTGGGGTCCTGGGGAGCCACGGAAGCCCCCTCCCAGGAGATCCTGGGGTGCGTCCTCTGCTCACAGGCCCAGGGCACAGAGCAGGTCAGGGTGCTGGGGCGGCCGCACTCCAGGGTCCCCGGGAGGAGGATGTCGGGCGTGTGGGTCAGGGCTGGTGAGGAGAGGGGGACACACAGGGTCAGGAGGGAGGGTCGAGGTGGGGCCCTGAGAGGACTCAGGCTCTGGTCCAGCTCCTCCCCTGAGCCCCACACGCTTCACCCCAGCCCCTCCCAGCACGGGGTCCCACCCCAGCCCTGCCCTGCGGCCCAACCACCTCCCCAGTGGGCACCTGGGGATCCGGAGCCTTACCTGTCACATGTACAAAGAGCTTGTTTTCTACATAGCTCCATTTCAACCTTCCTCGCTCCACCCGAAAAAAGTATGAGCCCTGGTCCCTCTTTGTGGCATCTCTGATGCTCAGGGAGCAGTTGTTCCTCCTGGGATCCCCGAGGAGGAGGAATTGGCCCTGGGTCTCCTCCTGCACGTTCCTACCTGGGTTGTTTCTGGCCACGAGAGCACCATGGTGTGGATTGGCACCTTCCCTGAACCAGTAGCCGTGAACTGGGTCAGTGTCATTCCAGCCATCCCGGGGGTAGGAGAAGGAGCAGGGCACATGGACACACAGGCCCTCCTGCACCATCACCACACTCTGCACTTGCAGCCTGTAACTTCCCCTGTCCCTTCCCCGTCCCTCCACCCCCGCCGACCCCCAGAGCAGGGCCAGCAGCAGCAGCATGTCCGGGCGCAGGTGCCAGGGCCGCCGGGGACAGTCTGCTCCTCGGGGTTCTTCTCTCGGGAACTGAGAGCTGCAGGACTTAGAGGAGGCCCCACAGGAAGACGGGGGCGAGGTCAGAACCCTGACCCTCAGAGGAGGAACTTCCCACTCTGACACTGTCAGGGCCTGGGAAGGACTTTCAGATCAAGTGTCACTACCCACATCCACTCCTGGTTACCCTGTGCCCAAGAGGGCAAGAGTCACCCAATTCCCACCCCATGAAGGGCTCAAACACATCTGCTTTTCTGACAACACCATTCCCTTTTGGGTACCTTTTCTGAAAGGTGACAATGGGTCCCATCTGGCTGGACCCCTGAGTTTCAGGCTGTGGGTGTTTGTGGAGGTCAGGGGTGGGGCTCAGGGGCATGGTGATGGGGGAGGCCCCAGAGGGGAGGGCAGCAGCCTCCTCCCCCGTCACCAACCACGTGTGGCCGTCCCTCTGCACATCGAGGTCAGCACAGCAGACCTGGGTCCTGTCCTCATGGAGTCACCGTCCAGGGAGAGACAATAAATCTCTGGACCTCTGACCTCCCTGTGACAATAGGTTCATGGGGGGGGGCACACAGGCAGGGTAGGGGTGGCTGCCCCGAGGATGCAGGTGTTGTGTTAGGACGACTGGGCACAAGGACATGGGGTGCAGGTTGAGGATACTACAAGGGCACAGAAGGGAGCCCGGCTCACGGGAGGCCTGGGAACCTGCGATTGTTCAGTGCGATTTTACAGAAATGAAAGTGAGAAAGGGAAAGGAACGTTTTTACAAGAGTAGAAACTTCTATTTTTGTCAACACATTCTGGGTGTCAGGCCAGATTTTGTCACCCCTGTCACCTCACTCAGCCACATTCTGGCTCCTCCAGAGCATGATGGGCTCCCCTCCCTCAGAGCTTTGCTGCAGGTTCTGCTCCCAGAAGTGGCCCAGGGAACAGGAGACACGGGGCGAGGGACACCAGCCTTGAGCCTGCCCACCCTCAGGGATGTCAGGGTTAACTGGGAGAAGAAACTTGCACTTCAATTCCAGTGAAGATGAGTTTAAACTGTGTGGCTGCAGGCTGGCAGGAAGTGAGGTAGTTGTCAGGGGGGAAACTGGCCCAGGTCAGATTTTGTTTAAAGTCTTTCCGGGAGGAAATACAAGACACATAGATAAAAGTGCCCACAAATGAACCTCACAGTGATTTACAGAAAGGAACACCCAGGACCACCTGTTTTCCCCCTTGCTGTGGTCCAAGCCCCACTCCCTCCTGGAGGAGCCCCTGCCAGATGGTAATGTTAATTATCCTCCTGCATTTTGTTTGTTTGTTTGTTTGTGTGTAATTGTGCATCTGAGCATGCTGCCTGGAATCCTGTGACTTTGAGAATGGTTTCCTGAACCATGGGACACATAGAAAACAGACTTTTCTTCCACTCGGCCTCATGGGTTGTCCTGTCGCCTGCTGCGCTCTGACTGCCCATAACCAGGGGCATCCCTTGTCTGTGAGGACTGAGGAGGGACAGTGCAGGGTGTGAGCATGCACACCTGCCCCCACTACCATGTCCTGCATTCAGCTGGTGTAACTTCCTGCAGCCTCATTCCCCCTGTTCCCCCACCCCAGACCTCTTCTTTGCCCAGTGGCTCTCTCCAAGGGAGAAAGCTGCAGCAGTGCAGGGGTCAGAAGGGCTGTGTGTGGCTTCTCTGTTTCCAAGAGTCCCCAATTTGCAATTGAAATGAGAAAATCAAAACAGGGAGATGAGACATCGGGACGCCACAGAGAATCTAACCCTGTGCCAAACAGGAACATATGGTCCACTTATGGCCCACGAGGGCTGGGAGGCCTCTGGCCCCATTTCCCAAATGTGGACAGAAGACACTGAGGTCCCGACTGACAAGTGCTACGGCCTGAGTGTCTGTGCCCCCCCCCCAGATCCATATGTTGAAATCCTGACTCCAAAGGCAACGGTTTCAGAAGGTGGGGTCTTTGGGAGGTGATAGGATCATGACAGTGGGGCCCCCATGAATGGGATTTGTGTCCTTATAGGAGAGATGGAGGAAGCTTGTTTCTACCTTTCCACCATTTGAGAACGCAAAGAGAAGGAGGCCCTCATGAGACACCAAACCTGCTGGCATCTTGATCTCGCACTTCCTAGCACGGAGAACTGTGAGAAATACATTTCTATTCTTTAAAGGAAAAAATGGAGTTTATGATAATTTTATAGCAACCTGAGTGGACTAAGGTTCTCACTGAATTGCCCAAATCACATGGGTGCCCTGTCTCATGTGCCACTATCTCCTCATGAGACACTTGGTCAAACTAGGTCTGTCCAGGACTGACTGGGCCAGGAGAGGGGAACCTTGTGTTAATCTGATATGGAAGAATTGTAAAGTTTCTCCCATGAGATGAGGGAAGAGATTTCATTCATTCATTCACTCGCTCTGTAGCCAGCACTAAGCATTAATGCTGTGCCTCGACGTTTCAGGGAAAGGTGTGAATAGCACAGACCCAGTCCTTGCCTTTGAGCAGAGCAACATCCGCTTTGGAGACAGACAAATCACCTGACATTTCTAAGGTCAGAGGGTGGGTGGCTGTGATGGGGAGGCACAGACTGTTGATGGGGGGATCTTGCTCTTCTGGAGTGGAGGGTGAGTTCTCAGGAAGGAACAGGCAGAGGA